TATCCAGCTAGATACCAAAATCAGATTTTTTTCCAGAATATGTAAAGAAGCAAGTATAGAAAAGAATGAAACTTGATATTATATAACTTATATAATATAAGGTTCCTCTTTTAGACGCAAACTGATTTTTCTATTGCAGATGACATAAGCAATTATTGCTCTACATATTATGTACAATACAAGGTCATAATGAAGTAAATGTCAACCCTACGAGCTTATGCAACAACGAATAACTTTCTCTTGCAAAATTATAGTCAATTGCCATCAACGAAGCAATCTTCTAAAAGTTTACCGTCTCATAATAATAATGAGGACACAGCAAAAAAAATTAAGAAAGAAATAAAACCAACAACAACAAAAAAAAACAACAACAACAAAAAAAAACAGAAAAAACGAAAAACCCAAGAAGTTAATCGGCTTTATAAATGACTTCAGAAAATACTGTTTTCCATGAATCAAAAAAATTAACTTGTATATATGTTTTTTGTGTGCAACAATTTTTATATGGACGTATAAGCACATTCCTTTCTCAACTCCGGGTGATGATGGAATCTTCCCAATCCGCCTGAAAGTCGCTTTAAAATGCAAAACGTCTACACATACTTAAAATGAAAATGATATAACTTTTTACACAGGTTAATCTAACATGTACAACAGCTATCAGCATCCAAAAAGTTATTTGTAGATTATCAGTTGAACCAGTTTAGTTTTGCATTATTTTCTGGATTAACAGATAAAAAAAAATCTGCTATTTTACCGAATAGCCAAGGCTCATACACATATTGGAATGTTGTACTTGAGTAGATTTAGTAGTGATATTTAGTTTTTCAAGCAGGGGTATACAAACAAAAAATGTGCTAGAGAAGTCATTTTTGAAAAGACTATTGCTCAATAAAGCCCGCCATAAATCATGCATAATGATCCAGTTGGTTTCACATTTCCTTGTTGGTTGGTAATTGTGACCTCTTAAAGGTTCGAATTGCATAAGTGTATGTACTATATATAGTATCACTAAACCATATTTAGATATCATTTACTTTAATTTCATTTGTGTACAGACACATACAGGTGGAATCTTTCTATTTTAAAAAATGGGCGACTGCTTGCTCCCCCTATTCTGCATTCAAAAATGTTTGTCCCGTTGTTTTGTCTAACACTGTTTTTAATGTCACTATTCTCGGTTATTCATTTAACCATTAATTGTTTTGGTCCCTATTATATAAATTGTGTATCAATCATTTTCGTCAAACTAGACTTTGATGTAGTTTGGGACTAGAATGTGATAAATGTTGGCATATATTAGTGAATATTAGTGGCGTTATTATATTTTCTTTGCTTCTTTTCCTAGGTTTCAATTCTGAAAGTGTGAATCTGCGTCAATTCAACACTCGGTATAACATATTTTTGTCACATTAGATCCTGAATGACTTGTACCTAGACTTTAATTCTAAGAATTTATATTGTATGTGGATTAAAAAAATACTTTATATCAAATGAGTTAAAAGCACAATTTAAAGTTCGTGTTGGTCAGTCATAATATATAGCTGTGCTACCACAATTTGTTGCAAAAAAAAAAATGCAAAAAAGGACTCTTAACCGTTGGGACTATTTAAAGAAAAAAATATAAAACTATTGTGTTGGCATTTTTAACCTCAGGTCAATCACATAAAAGTACAGTTATTCGTTAGAAAATAAGTAGTACATGGTGATCTGAATGTAATGTTGCCAAACATTCGAAAACATATGGGGGAAACTTAACAAATTATGCTTGAATAATTTTTCGGTAATGATCGGTAATACTTCCTTCAAATTACTGCTAAAATGTACAAACCATTATAACAGTAAGAAAATTTCAAGTTTCTGCGAAAACCTTTCACTGTTGAGACATAGAATGTGTAACAGTTCAAATTCATTATATCCTAAGCTTTGTTTTGCTTATGATTGTCTGTGTCTCCTCTAGGATTTGTGACATGCCTGAATTGAAGTCACTTGTGTGCTAATATGATTTAAAATCATAAACATGTCATTGATTAGCTTTTTAATTTTGTTGTTTAATGACAACATATCATATCATTTCTCATTGTTGTTCTATAAGATTTCCTTTGTTATTTTTTAGTTTTCTCAACATACCATTAGTTAACATAATAATTCTTGTATGTTTTGCTTCTATCCATGGACATGATGTAAACACTTGTAAAAGTTCGGTTGGTTTGCCACCAAAATATGTCTAGTTCTAAGATAACGTAGTAATCCGGATGGTATTCTATCTCAATCTCATTGTTTAAAAAGCAAGAGGTAATTTGTTTTATAAGCGAGAATTAATTGTTTTATAAGCGAGAAGTAATATTTTCTTTAAATTTCAAAGAACATTTATTTGACTGTAAAGCAAACAGATACTATATCTTTCATCTTAATACTTGAAATTTGTTGTGTAGTTTGTTCTGATGTTGCATATCTCAGGCATTTTTAAATCATTAATATTTCTAAAACTACCAAAAAAATTCCCTTAATAAGGGCACACATTAATAATAGTATCTACAACAACAAATCTTGGGGCTATTTTCACTCTTATTTATTTTTAACATAAATTGATTACGTTTTGCAGAACGCACTATGTTTCCGACTTTATAATTTGAGAATAATCTATTAACTATACGAAATATGCAGGACAATGAACGCTATTGTCTTAAACTATCAAACATATCAATCTAAAAGGTATCCTAACAAGGACCAGTGTACAGAGCATTCAATTTGTGAAAGTTATCAAACAATATTCATTTTAAATTGCTACCGTTAATATTATCATCTATAAGAGCTGATATACTTGTACCCTCTGTAAACCAAATTTTAAACGTTTATTTTAGAATTTACATACCTGCCAGCTTTCATAATTCATGAGAGATGTTGATTGGATTGAAATCCCCATGAATATCTCATGATAGGTACTCGAAGGAGTTTAAAAATAAAATGTTGTGGCTCTCATTTGAACGTTTCGTTTTACAGATCAAAATGAAATTTGTATTTCTTTTTATAAATGATATATTAGGAGTATTTAAGGGGGATCTAAGATATTTAATGGACTTGGAGTTCAAGCTCCGTTAATCTTCCTTCAATTTCAAGATTTACGTGAAATAATTTTCACTGTATGAAACATGGCGGTGAAATGCCTTTCAGCACAAAGATTTAGAATAGAAATGACCAAACATGCTAAATGGAAATAACCCTTTACTATCCCCTTTTATTAAGAAGACTTGTAAGCCAATCTGATTAAAATATAAATGTATGACCTTTGTCACATTGTCCAGTAACCATGCTTTACTTACATGGATCTGACTACGCTCTGATTAACATTCTGTTTGAAGACCTTTTGGGATTCTGAATTTCATGAGTTTTGTCGTAATGATACATACCTTCAAAAATCTGGAGGCAGAAATTTCATGGGGAGAAGCAATAATTATCAGAATACACTCAAACAAATCGTTGTCAGATCCTTGTATAAAGGTATAAAGCATGGATAAACGATGTTTTTCATTCAGATTGCATGTAAGCAAATTATTAACAGCAAATGCTTAAATTAAATATCTTAGTAAAGACAAAAAAAAAAACATTTTAATGCACAAGTCATGTACAAAACAGTGTTGGTCTGTCTGCTGACAAGGATTATGTTAATGCCTTCAATATTTTTTGCCTTTAAATCATTTCAAAGTAATTTCAAATTTCTATCTATAAATATTCTATTTATTATATTGTATCTATTCATATACTAGTAGATATTTTAAAATTGAACTGTTTCTGTATATCTCTGTCATAACCTGTTTAATATCAACTTATAACAATGCAATGGCTATGGTGCCTGTTTGTTTGTTCTATCCACTGAAAAAGCTGTGCAAAATGACTTTTCATTTGTATATGAAAGTATTATTTAAACCTTTCTGTTTTCTGTTTTCTGGAGCCTGGATGGTTAAATTTATCACTTGAATGTAACTAATCATTGTACCCTGTCTATCAGAATACTTCAATTATTGTAACAAATGCTAGATATTCCAAGTTGTAATTTTTTTCTTTTTTAAAATTATAATAAAAATGCATTTGTCAGACTGTTGGGACCATTCTTCAACAGGTTTTTTTAGGGATAAATGCTTTTACTACAAGCATTCCTGATGAAGTTGTCTCCCTCTCTCTTATGCTTCTACCAAATCTTTTTACGAATTTGAAATGGGATCTCTTCACTTAATAAAAAAAATAGGTTATCTAAATGCTTAAAACCTTTTTGATAGTTCATGTAAAATTCTGAATCTTTTTGAAAGATTTCAGTCATACAAAACATTTTAATCACTTAATGAACTTCCTTCACTTAACAATAATGAAGTTTTGTTCAAAATTATCCATAGCTCAAGACATTTCAATTCAGCCTTATTTTCTGTTGTATTGCTGTAACTGTGGTGACTCTGCATCTTTATAAAAGTTTTAATTGGAGAAAAAATATTTTCACTTAAAATACGTCTGTACTAATCAGAACTTATATTTTTTTCAAGAAATAAAATTAATCAGTTCAGTTTGAAACATAAGATTCAAAGCATTTCTCTTCTACTTTAAAATTTGCACATATAAAAGTTTGAGTTTTTGTTGCTATATATATAATATTGAACAGATTTTATTCTTTGTATCAAAGCAGCCTTAATTATTGCTGATTTGTTTAATCAAGTTTAAATTCGGAGTACCTTTGAAACATTGGAAAGACCATCAGTACAGGATCCTGCCTATCTAAATATGTTAACGATATTTTCAGGTAGTCTGATTTTTCATGTATTTGTAAATCGAAATTTGAAAATGACATAAAAATATATTCTCATCATTCAAAAGTTTGGGATATTTTTTCTTCAAAAAAAGGTAGAAACACATCTACAATTGAACATAATATCGAGTAGGAAAATTCTAAAAAAAAAATGATTAAAATATATAAACAGGATCCTCTAATTTCATGGCATTCCAATACTAACCTTATTACATATGTGCTGGCTCCATCCTGATTTGTCTCTGTCTGTAGTACTGGTTGTTTAAACTGTTGACAGCCCTCTCAGCATCATCTTGGCTCCTAAACCCTACCATTGCTGCTGAACCTTGCATGTCATTACCAATTTGTACCCGAACAGTTTCCTGGATAGGGTTAAAGCCTTGAAAAAAGTTTAGCACTTCTCGAATTGAAATGGTAAAAGGCCAGTTCTCTGTTTTCACATAGTATGTACTTCTACGTCCAAACTGTGGACCAGTATTTGCACGACCTGCTGGTTGCTTTATCATTCTTAACATGTCTATCATTTCACTCCTTTGAATAGGTTTCACAGTCACTGCCTTTCTCATAAAAACTTCATTATCTTTTAGCAATGCCCTAGCACAAACTGACTCATTAATAAATTCTGCAAAAGCCTCTCCTAAAGATTTTCCATTTGAATCTAGCACAAGATGAATACCTCGATTGCCTACTTCTAGACCAGAAAAGAAGCTGAACTGCAAATCTTGCAATGCAACATATGACGGTAGTCCTTTCAAATGAACACATGTATAGTCAGATTTTAGTGCATCTCCAGCTGCTTTCACATCTTTATTACCAGAAGGGATCAATTGAGTACCAATTTTTCCTAGTTCTTCTTTTAAATTATCCAAGTCCTTCTGAGACACTGATTTAATGTGAACAGTCTTTCCTGCTAACTGTTTCAAGTCTAATGATAAAGCTTTATCAAAGTCCAATTCATTATCAAATTTCACCATTGACATACCAGTTGGTCGTCTTTGCTGATCATGTTCAATATATATTGCACTGCCATTTTCTGCAATTTTCAGATCCTTAAAGAATTTTTGAAGCTCTTCTTTATTCACTGAAGTTGCCCAGCCTTTAACCTGAACTATATTCTCTTTAGGAATTGTTTTAGCAGGGGATGTTTTAGATGGTTCCTCTATCTTCATTTTCTTAGCTTCATTATCCTTTGAGGGCATGAATGAATCTACTTGTTTATCATATTCTTCTTGAGGGCAAGATTTAACTTCAATAACATTGTCATTTAATTGTTTTTTATTTCTCTCTATAGCTTCAAAATATGCCTGTGAACTGCAAAAGTTTATGTAAGCAACCCCAATTCTCTTTCCTTCCCCATCATTTATCATTTTCAATCCATCCCAAGGAATTTCACATCCCTGAAAGAACTTTCTAACATCCCTATATCCAGCATTAGTAGGCAAATTCTTCACTACTATTGATAGAGAAGGCATTGTTTTTCTGTATTGTCGTTTTAATCCTTTTGGATCTGCTGCATCAATCTTGGCTGGTGGTGAACTTTTTAGTGGAGGACCTGACAGCGGAGATCTTGATGTATCAGTGAATTTCGATGAAGGTTTTGGTGCATCAGTAAAAGCTGGTGGACCTGCAGGTTGGGGTCTTGACGTATCAGGCAATAAAGGGACTTTTGGACGTTGCTCCCAATCGTTTGAAGCTTTTCTAGACATTATTGGTGCCTTCTGTATTGGTCTTACAGGTCTTACACCTGGAGGGGCTGCTCCTAATATACCTGGCTGAGTTGAAGGGTCAAACCTAGTAATATTTTGTCTCACGCTGGTAATGTTTGTACTCATTAGAGATCTTGGGCTAGATATAGATGTACTCAGAGGTGGTTTAGGCCCAGTCACTGTTGAAGGACTATTTTTTGGTAAGCTTTGTAACGTTGTACTACTTGCAGCTGATGCAGGACTTTTAGCTATACTAAATGAAACTGGTGTATTAGAAACAGATCTGTTATCTATAACAGCATCTTTCGACACAGGTAAATTTGAAAATGATGATGTTTTAAAACTTGGTGAAGTACTTTGTGTGTTTGGATGCTTTGATGGTACAGGAATAGATTGCAAAGGCACAGTTGTTGGTGGAATTGAAGACTTGCTTACACTACTTTGAGAAACAGATGTCTGTTTAGGTGCAGTGCCTATATCTGATTTCAGTTGCTGACTTGTTTTGCTTGGTGTTGTTCTGGATTCATTTTCTCTTTTTACATCTCTTTCGTCAAAACGTTTTTCTCTTCCAAACTCATCCACTTTTTTGTCTCGACTATCTCGTGGTGATCTGCGACTGTCCCTATCATCCCTGTATCTACCATCATATCTACTATCTCTATCCCTATCTCGTTCTGTTCTAGATCTATCATAATCTCTAGACCTATCATAATCTCTTGATCTGTCATAATCCCTACTTCTGTCTCTAAGACGATCATCTCTCCTATCATAATCAGAACGTCTTCTATCAACTTCTGATCTGCTTCTATCGTCTCTACTGTAACGATCTATGTCACGCCTGCGATCACGATCTCTTTCCCTATCTCTATCTCTTCTGTCTTCATCTCTTTTCGTATCTTCATCGCGGCGTTGTCTAGTATCAACATCTTGTTTTGCCTCTCTTCCTGCACTTCTTTGATTTCTGGAATCTACATCTGATGGCCTATCATTCAGTCTTGATGGGATTTTATTCTCCTCTCCTCTCTTGTCAGTGTCTTGAGGTCTATTTCTATTGTCAATCAGATCGTCAGACTTGTTTTTTGAATCATCCAGCAGTGGCCTTTGTATAGGTTGATTCTGACGTTGATCTGAGCCACCTATGAGTCCTGGTATAAGTGGCTGAACAGTATTTCCTGGTGTTCCTATAGATGTAAATGGGGTATTAGGTCTTGGCTGATTTGCACTTACTGGAATGCTTTCATTTATTCTTAAAGGTCTGTTAAATGGTGGCTGTGAAAAACCTGGAGCTCCAAGTCTTGGAGGTGGTTGTCTGATATCTGGTAGCCTGGCAGGTGGAGGTCTATTGGGAAATCTTGGGTCAAAACTTGGCTGGTTTGGAAATGGAGCTCTAAAAGGTTGATTCTGGAAACCTCTAGGTTGTGGGTAATCCTCACTTTTATACTCTTCTTGATCATCCACTATATCCATTGGAGAACCACCACTTGTATCAGTAGAGGGCTTTGCATCAAACGGCACGGATGGTCTTCCAGTTTTCTGGTCATATGCTGGTTGATTTTTGTCATTATAACTAAATGGTCCTTTTCTAAGATAGTGTTCATCTAATGAAGGTCTTCCATCAACTCCATAAGATGGATGATCATACTGTCTCTCAATAAGTGGAGGCTTATTGTCATAATGTGGTAGTCCATCCCTAAAAGGTGGTGGTCTTTCTCCATATGGAGGTCTATCTGGAAACCCAAGTGGCGGCCTGTCATATTGGCTAGATGGAATTGGTCTATCAAATGTTCCAGATGGAGTTGGTCTTTCAAATGTCCCTGATGGAGCTGGTCTTTCATATGGCCCTGATGGAGCTGGTCGGTCAAATGGACCAGATGGAGGTGGCCTTTCATATTGATCTCTTGGAGGTGGCCTTTCATATTGATCTCTAGGAGGTGGCCTTTCATATTGATCTCTTGGAGGTGGCCTTTCATATGCATCCCTTGGTGGTATTCTTTCATGTGCATCTCTTGGTGATGGTCTTTCATGTGCATCATAAGCATCTCTTGGTGGAAGTCTTTCATGATCATCTCTAGGTGGAAGTCTTTCATTTGTATCTCTAGGTGTTGGTCTTTCATATGCATCTACAGCTGGTGGCCTTTCATGTGTATCAGCAGGGGGTGGTCTGAGTGGGTACCCATATACTTCCTTGTCTGGTTGGCTGAAACCATCTCTTGAGGCACCATATGGAGGTCTTCTATTTTCATTTCCGATGGATGAAGGGATATTAAAATTTGGAGGTGGGTGATTAAAGTCTGGATTAACTTTTTTATCAAATTCTGGATTCCAAAAAGGTGGAGGCTCATTCTCATCAACATTTCCTTTGTCATCTAATTTGTCTTCGACTTTTCCAATATGCATTCTGCTATCACTGTCCTCATACTGATTTATTTCTGATATTTTTTTATTCGGATCTGGTGTTTCTAATAAACCAGAAGGTGGTCTTTGCGCTGGGGAAGAACGATGATCTATTCCCTGATTCCAATTTGATGAAGGTCCTAGTCCATATCTTCTCTGAGAACCATCTCCTCTATACCCATATTGATCACGAGGATCATTGTCACGATTATAATGATGTCTGTCCAAACCAGGGGGAGTTCTTTCACTAAGCTGTAGATTTCTCTCATGTGATGGAAGTGTTTCCCTAATGTCCTCATAACCAGGTCTTCTATCATAGCTTCTGTCTCTTTCTGTTCCACTAATTGGAAGTTGAGTTTGTCCACTTGGTGTTATGAATCTATTTGGGTCTGGAGGATACACATCTGTGCTACCCTCTTGTCTTGAAGTTGGAACCTGGAATGGATCCCATGGTCTCCGAGGATCATTCTGAAAGCTCCCAGGTGGTCCGGGTTCTAATGTAGGCTTTGACTGTGGGTCCTGCCTTAGTGTTTCCCATGCCTGCTGTTGAGGATATGGAGGATATAGTGGAACTTTTTCTGTATCACCTTTTCTTTCTTGCAGTCTTGGGGAAATGACATCTTGGCCTCTGGAACTTGATCGACTATTCTCATCCAATTCAGTGGGTGTTGGATAGCTTGTTCTACTCTCAACAGATGAACCACGATCTGATCTTGGTTGAAACCTATCAGGAAATCCCTCTCTAGATGCTGGAGGATATCTCTCTTGATAGCCATCTCTGCTCTGTGGTGGATATCTGTCTGGAAATCTATCTTTTGCATATCTGTCAGGCTGTTGCCCATACCTGGCTACATCTGCAGCTGATTCTTGTGAATGGGAACTGTTACGGTCATAATCACCATTGTGTGTTGGGTGAGAGTTAATATATGAATCTTTTGGAGTATCTCCAGTTGGATATCTTCTATCTAAAGGCTGACCATACCTCTCCGTTGGTTGGCTTTCTCTATTGTATGAAAGCTGTTCTTGAACATTTTGAGAAGCTGCTGTTCTGTCTGGGTATCTTCCTAACTGATCATCATAATGCCCCTGTTGTTGATCTGGTCTGTCAAAATGTGGTCCTACAGGCATAACATTCTGTGTGTGCAATTGGCTTGGTCTATTATAACCCCTTTCCAATTCTGGAGCCTGTCTGTCTTGTGGTGGATAAACTTGTTTGTCTGCTGGCTTAGCATATTCTGAAGCCATATATGGCTGCGGTGGAGTTTGATGTGTTTGTGGTGGTGTTGTTTGCTCAATTGATGCTGGAGCACTTTGATTCCTAGCCTCACCAATAACATTCTGCATTTCTGATTTACTACTGAGAAACAGCTGCACTGAATTTGTATCAATATAGCCATTATTCATCATCATTGCCTTCCTTGCATCCTCATCACTAACAAAAGCAATAAAAGCATCACCTTTTTCTCCTCCTATGATGTGAACACCTCCTGGGGGTATGTTGAGGCCCTTGAAGAACTGGCGTATATCCATAGCACTTGCTGACCATGGTAAATTCTGGAGACGAATAATAACTGACATCTTGAATTCTGAAAAAAGAAATGTATTATCATGTATTGTGTTTATACTGTAGGTCAGGGTGAATATTTCTCTTACACAATGTTTGATTTTGTATAATCTGTTTCATAGTAACATTAAATTGTTTGCATGATTGATTTTGAGTAGTGTTTCTGGCTACATACATTTGTAAAGGGTTTCATGAAACCATGTCTCATTGCTATTGCTTCTGTTAAGAGTTAAAGTGAAATTTTAACTAACAAATATTTAGTCTAGTTTTCAGTAAAATATGGTAGCTAATAAAAAAAATGATTTTTTTTCTGCAGATGCTATTTCTTGTTCATGAAGAAGCTTTTTGCCATGTTGTGTAATGTTCCCTAAAAGTTCTAAACTGTGAAAAACAATGTGGTAGAGAGTTGTCTCATTGGCAATCATACCAAATCTTCTTCATCTGTCAGTCTGACACAATTCTATGAATGTTTGACAAAGTCATTGGTGTCTAGAAATTTAATCAAAGATTGTACCTAAATGCAATCTGCAGAAAACAAAAGTGCATTAATCTGGAAAAAAAATAATATTCATAAAAATTTTCTATGGATGGGAGATTTTTATCAGAAAAGCTTCTATTCAAGTTACATATAAAAACATGAAAAATTCAGAGAAGTTTTAAAAACTTATTGATGTCTTAAAATATTTTAAATATAGACTGAACCTAAATGTGAAGACACAGAATAGAATGTAGAATCATATGTCTGGCTTATGTGACTACTGCCACAAAAAAGCTGAACAAAAATCTGTAGTGTTGGTCAATAACATTTTTAATGCCATGGCACTCAGTGGATAGGAATACTTTGTGAAATCTATGTATATAATATACAAATCGAACAGATGTCTCAAATTCTTTTTAATACTTGTAGACATTGTACTACCTGAAGTTATAAAAGACCAGCTAGGATCACCTACTTTAAACAGAATTCAAATTCTTGGAATTTGGCAGCAGACAGTTTTTCGATACATAATTAAATTTTTAAAAATTTTGTCCAAACATTTTTTTTTTCATATCAATTGAAGCAAATATTAGTGAAATAATGAAATGCAATTAAAATCAACAGAAATTAATTTAATGTTATTCTTTCTGAATGTATTGCGGTTGATGATTGTCTTGATCAAGTATATATCTTGTAATAAAATGCTCCGCAGGGCGCAGCTTGATACGACCGCAGAGGTCGAACCCTGAACAGTTGGGGCAAGTATGGACACAACATTCAAGCTTGATACAGCTTTGCATTTGGATTGTGATTAAATATTTGACACAGCATAGGTTTCTGACACAGAATGAATGTGGTCTAAGAACTTAAAAATTTTAAATTGGACATTTACCTATTATGGTCCAATATCCAAAATCTAAATACATGGTTAGATTCAGCATATCAAAGAACCCCAAGAATTCAATTTTTGATGAAATCAAACAAAGTTTTATTTTGGACCCTTTTGACCTCAATGTGGACAAAGTTGATAACGGGGCCCAAAAATCAAAAATCTAAATACATGGTTAGATTTAGCATATCAAAGAACCCCATATATTCAATTTTTGTTGAAATCAAACAAAGTTTAATTTTGGACCCCGATTTGGACCAACTTAAAAAAAATGGGTCCATAATCAAAAATCTAAATACATGTTTAGATTCAGCATATCAAAGAACCCTAAGAATTCAATTTTTGTTAAAATCAATTTAATTTTGGACCCTTTGGACCTTAATGTAGACCAATTTGAAAACGGAACCAAAAATTAAGAATCTAAATACACGGTTAGATTCGGCATATCAAAGAACCCCAATTATTTAATTTTTGATGAAATCAAACAAAGTTTAATTTTGGACCCTTTGGACCTCAATGTGGACCAATTTAAAAACGGGGCCCAAAATTCAAAAACTAAATACAAGGTTAGATTCAGCATATTAAAGAACCCCAAGAATTCAAGAATAAAACCCCATTGAAATTGGTCAGGAAATAAGCAATTTATACGAAGTATCTTCTTTTGCACAATACTGTGCAATTAAATATTTCTTGCTATTGCGCAATACTGTACAATTGACAATCTCTTGCTTATGCGCAATATTGTGCTTTTGGATATTTCTTGCTATTGCGCAATACTGTGCAATTGAAGATTTCTTGCTATTGCGCAATACTGTGCAATTGAAGATTTCTTGCTATTGTGCAATACTGTGCAATTGAAAATTTCTTGCTATTGCACAATACTTATTATATAATAATTTACACATCCTGTTTGGTGTGTATCTCCTACCATATCATTATTATTTGCTTTTAAATATAAATCAGAAATAACCAACTTAAAATGGAAAATTTTAAAAGAAAAAAAAAGGAAAAAAAGAAAAAAAAAGTAAAAAAAAAAAATCCCCCCCCAAATTTTTTTACCCCCCTTATGATTCATCACCCCCAAACTCAATCCCAGCCTTCCCTTTGTGGTATGGTACCTTGCAGTACAATTTCAGAGAGATCCATACACTTGAACACAAGTTATTGTCTAGAAACTAGAAAAATGTGTGTTTTGGCCCCTTTTTGGCCCCCAATTCCTGAACGTTTCGGCAATTACCCCCAAACTCAATTCCAGCTTTCCCTTTGTGATATGGAACCTTGTAGTACAATTTCAGAAAGATCCATACACTTACACACAAGTAATTGTCATGAAACTAGAAAAATGCTTGTTTTTTGCCCCTTTTTTGGCCCCTTATTCCTAAAATTTTGAGGCAATTACCCCCAAAATCAATCCCAGCATTCCTTTTGTGATATGGAACCTTGTGGTACAATGTCAGAGAGATCCATACACTTACACACAAGTTATGTCTGGAAGTTACAAAAATGCTTATTTTTGGCCCCTTTTTGGCCCCTTATTCCTTTACTGTTGGAACCATAACCCTCAAAATCAATCCCAACCTTCCTTTTGGGGTATTGAACCTTGTGGTAAAATTTCATAGAGATCCATTCACTTAAACTAAAGTTAGAGTGCGAAAACCAATGTGTCTTCGGACGACGCCGGACGACGATGACGACGCCAACGTCATACCAATATACGACCACAAAAATTTTTTTGCGGTCGTATAAAAAGAGCATTGTGACAGAAAAAATCTTTACACAATATTTTTGTCATCAAATTCTAATTGAATACAGGGACATTTATGCAACAAATTACAATGATCAGATTTCTAGGGACCAAAGTTTTTATAATCAACAGTAAACAGTTTGAGTTCAAGATTAAACAAGATAAAAATATGGTAAAACAATTTATTTTTTATTTTTTAGTTATTTGCACTGGGTTCCTGCCTCTTTGAAGTATACCCAACATCTCATTTTCAAGCACTAGAATTTCCCAAATTGTTTACAGGGGGGGGGGGGGGGGGGTTGCTTTTTCTTCAGTTTTTTTTGTGTTGTATTTTGTTATATTTATACTTTTTAACATCTGTATTGCCTATTAGTTATGGTAACGAATAAATCTACTGTTTGAATTTATATTAGATTTTCCAGTTTTGTTTAAGGATAAGAGAATAAACATGTAACATAAGTTTATGAATTAAAATGTGTTAAGGTTAGGTAAAAAATATCTACCATTCCACTATGGTATCAATATCATAACTCGTATAATTTTAACATGGGGGAAATCATTTAAAGTTTGGTTTCATAAGGGAAACAGAAATTGATAACACTTCAGACAAAACAAGTTGTTACCACTTACAGAGGGGGTTTTCGGAAGGGGGGAGGGCCTTATGGTGCTACCTTTATTGTTATTGCAGATATTTTTACCTGTTCCATACCAAAAGTTGCATAATTTGGGGTCCCCCTTTTTTAAAATCCTGGATCCACATCGGACTTATTTTAGTTGGAGTTCATGTTTCTCAATTTTTTATATCTCATTAGTGTTTTGGGATTATTGTGCTTTCATCTTTTTCTTCTTGCTAAGATGTTGATTGTCCCTTCAACTTATGATTTTGATATTTCTGTTTAACTTAAAATTCTTTAATGCAACCACATATTTCCTATATAATGAAGATATATTTTAAATACTACATATTTTACCTATCTGATTAATTTTCCCCTAAATTTTCAGTGCTATACTTGCAGACTTCTCTTTTCTGAAAAAAGCAAAAACCATAACAAAATGTAATTATTAATCTTTTACTGAAAAGGTATCTTCACAAATTGTTTTTCTGAATTGAAATGAAATGTTTGCTATTGCTCACATGATTATGCTTCTAACTTTTTTTGGACAAATTCATATTTTTTCTATAAAACCCTATAGTCGCTCTTTGCATTTAATATTTTAATGTGCTTGAGTGAAATTTGCATAGTCCCAAAAATAACTGAGGTCAAGTTTACAAGGAAAATTGGTTCTATTCAGTACAAGTAAACAGATGCTAAATTCAATGTATCCCAAAGGTAAACAAGACAGTTTGTCATTATCTAAGAACTATATCGTTCTGAACATGCATAAAATATTTGCCGCTGGATGTTAAGCAACCAACAATCAATCTATCTAAGTACTATCTTTGTGCTAATATACTCTGATTATCGGTTGCATAAGCTTGTACTAGGATGATATGTTCAGATCTTTTAGAATATTGCTGTTTGTATTTGAAAGCCAAAAACATAGTTAAATACAGCCTATGGCTTAGCACTGAAACATAAAATTTTCATTATTCAATCCATTTCATTTCAGTTCAATTATTCAAACCTTCCAAGATTTTATTTAAATGATGCCAAGAGTCAATCCTAAAAAAAAATTCAGAAGCATTTATGTATGAATGTTAAATTTCTACCTTTTCAGATTTTGATTAATTTTTTTTATCTTTTGAAAATTGTAATTCTGTAATTTATTCCTTGGTTGATTGAAACTTGTCTAATTTTCTTATATGCTATTGCATCATTCTTAAAGAAAGATGTAAATATCATAAATGCTTGTTCACTGCTCAATAAATACATGTACTACTTTCTTAAAGCACAAACATAACTTCCAATA